GTTGTTGTTGTTGTTGTTGTTGTTGTTGTTGTTGTTGTTGTTGACTTTTAATTTTAATATTTTAAACCTACTTTCTAGAAATTGTTTTAACATTATAAATCAAAGGCACAATTTAAAAGTGAGGATATTTAACGATATTTATATGACGTAAAACTAGAGAAAACAAGGAAACAAGTAAAGGAAACAAGCCTCTAGGTGGGTCTATTTCCAGCAGTTCTCAGCTCTACCTGTAGAGGGCAGCATTGCATTGTGCTAAAAACAGAAATGTGCTATAAATATGCTGTTGTTATGGAGATAAGTGAGCTTTAATGTTTGGTGAATTGACCAGAGCAGTCTTTAATACAACACAGAAAATAAGTCTTGCTTTGCATTTTTAAATATTAAACTGAGCTTAATGTGATTTATCCATAGAGATATGTTCATATGCCTACATTTACACCTATAGGATGGGGTTTAAAAGCGGTTTTATGAAAGCTTTGCTAAAATAATTTCATAGGCTGCTGAGTGTGGTTGGTGTTGTTGATAGTGAAGGATGTTTGCGCTTCAGCAGCATGAACGATCCTGTATCTCTTCAGAAACGAGTGGACAGTGATGACAGTGATGCAGTCAGGAATAATTCCTGTCCTTGGCCTTTTACCACGAGCCCACAGCCTTGAAAACGAGACGTCGCGAGCGTTTGCGCGCAGCCTGGGCGCTGACCGTGGTGCTGGACTGAGCTCGCGCTAATGTGAAAGAAGAAGAAGAGGACGAAAAAAGAGGGGAAAATAAAAGCATCTTCAGTGGATTTTCCTGTGGGAACCGATAAAACAGCCTCGCGTGAGCGCACGCGCGCGCGTGTTTGCTCGCTAATTATTTGAATATTCGCGCGTTCGTGTTCACGAGCTCCTTCTGTGACGTCAAAGATAAAGACCCCCGCGTTGCCGCTGCTACTGCAGCTGCTGGTGTGTTCCCTGAGCCTCGTCGTCTCCCCCCGCCCCACTCCCCAGTTGCTCCAACCCGCCGGTGCTGACACACACACACACACACACAAACACACACACTCCTCCGCTGGGCGCGAGCACACACGGGCTTGACTGACACATGCTGCGGTATTCTGCACCGCTGGACGGCCGTGGATTAGCTTTATGCTAATATCGACAGGAGCGGGGAGCCAGCGGAGTCTGAACGGGCTCCTTTCTTCGCAGCCATGGCTGAAGGAGGAGAGGGAGAGGATGAGATCCAGTTCCTCAGGACTGTAAGTACATTTTACCAGCTTCTCTCTCATCTTGTAGGGAATATTTTTGTCCAACACACACACACACACACACACACACACACACACACACACACA